ATCACTGGAGCAAGCAAGCCTCCTGCTTGCTCCAGCTCCATGGCTGCTGGCTTCCATCTTTGTTTGGTTTTAATTTGCATATACTCGCTGATTGGCTGGTGGGCATGGCTTAAGGTGTAGCGAGGGTATGGTCAATTTGCATGTTTGTCTCTTATTAGTGTAGATAGATGATTAGAAGCTACAAGTCTATGACAGAGTTTTTATAAAATATACAACAGATTTGAGAGATGCGGAGTTAATAAGAAACACTTTTCATAAATGATAACTTTATCCTGATTTGCCATGTTAGTTTTTACCTACTCTGTACTGTATCTCTAAGATACAGTAAGTTTTAGGTTGCTTTGCATATAAAATGAAGATTTAATGAACAGACCCAAAGACCTTAGATAAGTGGTCTAACTGCCCTTCCCCACCTCTGATAGAAGCAGGTCCGTCCAGAAGGAATGTCCTTGCTTAAGGATACAAGGCTGGTTGCCATCTCTAACATTCTGTCTCCAATGGCTATGAGTGAAACTGAGATACTGATTTGTACAATCCATTGTTTACTGATTTTTTTTTCTTAGAGAAAGAAACATTGATTTGTTGTTCCACTTATTTATGCATTCATTGGTTGGTTCTTGTATGTGCCCTGTCCAGGGATAGAAGAGAACCTGCAGCCAACCAACTGAGCAATCCAGCCAGGGCTGAACAATCTACTAATGTATTTAAACCTACTTTGGAATTGACAACTGATACTCTTTTCTCTTTCTCCCAAAACCTCTAAAACCCATCCCAAAATGATTAGGACACAATCATCTAAATAAGGTTATGGGTTATGTGAAAATTGGTTTTCCAGGGCAAAGGGAAAGGAAAGAATACTTGGCTAACTCATATTTTACAAATTTTAAATGATTACTAACCACTTGTTATAAAAATCACCTTTGCTTTATTTTTTATATCAGTTTGATAAGCAAATGTTAAGCCAACCTAATTTTAAAAAATAAAGTTAAAAACTAAAATAAAAAAGTGATGCTTTTAAAAAGATAAACAATGGTGTCATTATAAACTGGATTTCTGTGGCTGATATTAGGTACTGCCAAACATTTTGCTATTCAACTTCCAATCCCTCAGTAGCATTACTCTGAAAGGAAATGTTACAGCTTTTATATTATTTGATTTGGTATTTAATAACATTTATAAGTACAATGGCAAACATCAAAAGAGAAACCTTAGTAGAAAAGAAAAAGACAATTTATAATCAGGTTTTGTTAAAGGGTGTTATAAGTGCAACTTTATCTATAAGCATTCCTTTTAAGGCATTTTCATTGTCCAAATATTTCAACATGTACATCAAGTTTGATATTATAAAATGGGCTCCTTTAGTATTATTCATTCAAGACTTAAAAAAAAAATACATCTCAGGACTAAGTATAGCAAAAAAAAAATCACTTTTCTCCTCAGTAACTTAAAATACAAGTCATTTAGCATACATTATTCCGCATTGTAATCCAGATTTGGTATAATATCTTTTTCACTTACTGACAAAACTGTTAAGACGGTGCAGGCTGTAGTATTTCATTTGTGAGGTGGCTGCAATTCTGTAATATGCACAGTGACTTTTAAGTAGGCTCTTACCATGCCTTGCATGAAAGGTACTACAACAAACCTGTTTCATGAACTCTTTGGTAACCACCAGTTCAAAAACTTGGACCTAAATTTCCACATGGCCAGATATGAAGCACTTTATTGGAGTTCTAGGCTGAAACTCTTACCCTGTTTATTAAACTCTTCAGTGTTTTTTGGGGGTGGGGTCAGGTAGGGGTTAGGTGTAGGTTTAGAATAAAACCAGATAATTAAAAGCATGTCAGGCTCCAGTAAAAAGGCCCCAGTTAGTTTCTAGTTGGCCATACTATTTGTTTAAGGAAAAAGAGTGACTTTCTACTAAGTTTGCTTCCAATGACACCTTTTGGAGAAAGTGAAATATTCATGTGGTCATTATCTAGTCCTTTTTGAATTGTTATGAAAAGGGGGATGAATATAATTGAGACTACTACTACTTTTGCAATCTCAAGTGTTCCCTTGGTTGTTGCTTTAACTGGGCTTTCTCGTGGTCAGCCTACTCAGATTCAGTACTTCATAGGCTGCCCTTAGCATTTTCTACTTGAAGGAATAATGTGCTGCTTAAGTGAGCAGTTCTCTATTTTAGGACATCAGTATCCTGGAGAGGTCAAGCTGTGATATCATTCACCCTCATTGGGCCACCTCCTACTCATTAATTTCAACTTTCAGTAAGTGTCCTGGGATGTGTCCTACTTGTGCAAATTAGAAGCTAGTTAATATAAACCTAAATTACCCACTTACTGTATTTTAGCTAAACCATAATTTCTATATTTATTTTCCATTTATCCACCTAAAAATGAATTTACATTTTTTACATGCAAGTGTCTCTAGACTGCCATGATGCCCATGATCAATTTGATACTTGAATCTAGGGAGCCATGATGGAGAGAGATCATTCAAAGTCTAGAGAATAGGTTTTAAATATGTCTGTTGTGTAATATCTATATTTTAGTAAGAATCCTTTGTATTTACATTACACAGCACCTTTCAGCCAAGTGTTTAAACGTGATTTAACTTTATAGCACTATTTGGTGGCAAAGCCTAAGTTAAATAGTGGCTAAGTTAACCAAGTTTGCTAATTTCCATTTAATTTCTGGTCAACTATACATTCTGTCTTTTCATTAATGGTCTTTCTGAAAGGAGACTCTGATTACAACATAACTACTGGCCTACCCTCTCCAAAAAAGATAAATATACATGAGAGAGATAAAGGAGGAGGAGGGAGAAGAGGAAGAGAGAGGAAAGGAGGGAGAGAAAAACAACACATTTCTCATGACATGTAGGTTAGTGATACACAGTTCACATAAACCACACACAGGAATATGAATTATCCTAAAAAGATTTTTAGAGCTGGTAATGAGAGCCTAAGAAGTACACTGTTAAAATTAAAAAGTCAGTATCTTCCTCATTTAAGACTTGTAAGATTATTCTGATATTTATGTTAAATAATGAATTTGCATTAACAGGTATCAATGCATTTTTTTTGATTTCATAAGAAAATAAAACTGTGGTATAAAATTGGAACTACAAAAAGAATTGATGTTTCCCTGGGTTAAATTAACTAAATCTACTTTTTTGTGCTTCTTTCAAATGTTTAAGGTAACAAATGCATACAAATATTTCAAAAGTACCAATAATAGTTACCAACTTTAATGTAATATTAAAAAGGACAAAACCAGAAAAATTCTTATTAAGTGATAACCTTAATAATAAGTGAGTTCCTGGAAAAATGTAGATCATAGTAAATTATTTACATTATATTTGCCAAAACTTCTTAAGCAACAGTCAGCTCTCAAGTTAAAAAAACAAACATACATAACCCAATACTAAAGAAGGGAAATGAGTTAAAATACAACAACTTTATCTTGGGAATGCCATTTGCTGGAAAACCACCTTACTTAAAAGTTTCAGGAAAACACTCTTTACTTAACTTGGATCCACTTGTGAATGCTTAGTGTTGCTTATTGGGAAATATGGAAAGATTAATAGCACTAAATTTTTTATAACTCCTATCTCATTATGGATTTTTCAGATTTATCATATAAACTTGAATTTTTTGTTCAGTGCACCAAAATAATTGGCTTAAAAAAAATACCAACACATGCAGTCTGCTAACCAAATAAGACTCTGGCATGCCAAAACAAGGTTCTCTGTATCTTGATATATACTACATTCCACAACATACTACAGCATTTGATTTAGATTATACAACTAAATATAAATCACTAGATTTTCGCTAATATTTAGCAGAAGCATTAAGCAAACATGGATAAATTCATAAACAAATGATGAAAGAAGTAGGTTGTTCTTGGAGAACTTCTTGAAACCTCAAAACACTTGGTCCTTAGCGAGAGAACATCCTTTATTCAGTAGATCTTAATAGTACAATGTATAGTAAGTCCTAAAACCTTCTAAAAATTTTGGCAGTTGACTCCAGTAGTGCTCCTTGATTCAAGGAAGGAAGGAAGGTTTGTGTTTCTTGCCTGCTCTAGTCACGCAGAATTGTATAAAGTCTCCTTAAAGATTTAAAAAAATGATTTCTATAGTTGGGTGTCTTGTTACTTCAGATATAAAGGCTTCATACTGAGAAAATGAAGGACACTTTTCTCTCTGTATTTAGTTGAAAGGTAGAAAGAAGAAAGAAAATATAAGAAAAGCTTGAAGAGAGATATAAAATACAGAGCAGCCACTACAAGAACAGCATGCACCAGATATTTCTATAGGAATGAGAGTGACAGAAAGTCAGAGACAAGTTTTCCTCAAGAGGCATTTAGTTTACCCTCAATTACCAAGAACCAGTGGCAAAGTTATATTCCTAACACACAAAAAGAAAAGACTTCACACTGAAACAGGAATTCCTAAAACATTACTCACTACTAAAATTCAATTTAAATTGAGGAAAAAATAATTCTTAAAGGTTTGCTTCCTGTGTGACAGGCAAAAAACAATGGCAATCAAATTATCTTGCTTTACTAGTAAATAGGAGAGAAGTCATGAATTAATTAAGCAAGCAATATTTACATCTGTTAATGCAATATGCACTTGTTCTTATACTTAATGCTGTTAGTTTGTATAAATGAGACTAATCTCATTTACATTTTGAGTAAGAAACTCACCACTTGGCCCACATGTCATGTAGTGGGTAATAGAATTAGGAGCTTTGTTGCTCCCTAGACCTGCTTTTTGAATTTCTGCTTTCTTGTACTTTGTCCATATCTGCAGGAAAAAAGCATTTCATGTTATTTAATCAAAAGTTAAACATAATACAATTCACGAAGATAAGAAACTTAAAGAGCTCTCATTGAATAGGGCAAGGAGAAGGAATCTAACTCTGGGAAATTCTTTAATCTGATAGACATCTCATTACTTCAAGACTGATTTTCATAGTTTAAAAGCTAGAAATAATATGCCTCCTAGTGTCAAAAAGGTTTACTTGTTATGTTTATGTACTAAATGGTCACATATAGTTGTAAAGTAAAAAGTAATCTTGCATGCAGTGGCAGAAACATCTACAATGAAATATTTGTATTACTAAGAAAACCTGGGCTTGAGGCATATTTTGTAGGCAAATAATATATTTCATTACACTGTAATCGCTAAAATTGTTTTGGTTAAAGGGGACCCAATACATAACAGTGTAAATTTATAATGTCATACAAGTAATATTGGTATAATTTCTAGAAACCTAGGCCAGGAATAGCAACTATGCAGTTTCATCTAAAATTAAGGTATTGAATCTCACATAGTCTTTCAAATAATCTTTTGTGAAGCCATAGGATTTTTATGGAGATGTCTTAGAAAAAAAACATGTAGCTGCTCAATTAAGTCAGAGTTTTACTCTCACTTTAAAAAATGTATTTAATTGGGGAGCATCTTTCTAAGATATCATTTATATTAATATGCTGTTCTGAGAGACTTTTATGACTCCACAGCTTTCGATAGTTTCTGGAGGAAATCGAGTCTGTATTCTTAGACAATCATCAAGACACATCGACATGGTATGTATCTTTCTCACATGCACAGTGGGCATCTTCTTTTTGAAAATGTGCTGTATATGTAACTATAGCCATTTGGGTTGTAAATACTTCTTTACTGTAAAAGTAATTTTTAAAAATAATCACAGTTTTTAATATAATAGCACATGATTTCTCAATGTATGAAATTTAAAATTTAATATTTTAAATTTAAAAAATGGCCAAATTTATAATATTTAAAAAGTTGAAATAGCTGAGAAATAAAACTTGACTCAATGTGGAAAAGAAATAATAATTATTACATTTGCCTGATATATGTCCTCCATCTAATCTCACCTGTATTTGCCATTAATTTTTATTACTAGGTTATGAAAAAATAAAAGAAGGCATACCAAAAACATTTAAAATGTTAGAATTGAGTATGAAACAAATGACAATAAAATAGATTGGTGTATTCACGCAGAAAATATATTAGGTGGTACTAAAAATATGAAAATTTTCTGATTTATCTGCTCTTGTACTACTTTTAGTAATAGCTGGCTATGAAAAAAGTAGTATGGTCAAAGGTGTAAGGAAAAGGGGCCTAGTCCTGAAATGAGCTTGTGTAAGTACAAACAGATGGCTTAAATTACAAAAGATACGTATTTCATTAAGCAAAGATTCTCTATAGATTGTTCTTTGGTTCAATTAATAACAATAATTAATATAACAACATGTAGTAAATAATAATTTCCTTCCTCTTTAGAAAGTTACATTTCAAAGCATTCCTTTCAGATGCCAGGCTGTTACTAACAGATATATTTATACTAAGTCAAAATGGCAAAAACATTCCAGAGACAGAGCGAAGATATACTCCTCCAGAGATAAGTGAGAGTTATGAGTTTTTATTTTTGTTTTATTCTGGGAGATTCAAGTTTAGCTGATTCTGCTTTTAAAGGACCACAGCAAGAGACAATTTTAAAGTTTATGACACCAGAGTCAAAGTTAGCAAATATTTTCTCTAACTTATATGGTTATTTTTTTAGCTACAAGTCATATTTATTCTTAGTTCTAAAATTTGTTCTACTAAAAGTACACCTATTAAGTTTAAGTGGTTACAAATCCTAATATTTTATTTTAGCACAATGTACTCATTTTAGAAAAATTTTTTAAGGACAGACATATAATTTAATAATAAATTATAAAATTAAATAAGTACCAATCTTCACCACTTTGTAAACTTGCTAGCTTTTTTAACAGAAGTAAAAATGCAAATTTTCAACACATTGAGTATGACTGGTTTATTTCTCTTTGACTCTATTAAAAAAAAAGAACTAGAAAAACTCTGATTCTAAGTAAAAATTAATCTTGAAGGAAGATGAAGAAAAGTGCAGAAAAGAAATAGAATACAAAGAAAATGCTCCTAGACAGTGTAAAAGTCATATTTAAATTTGATGTTTTTTTTTAAGAATTATACTAAGTTTATTAACATTAACAATATTTTAAATCTGAACAATTTTATAAATATGGGCAGTAGTTAATATTTGCTACATAAAGTATTGAGTTATTAACTATTTCTTTGAAAATAAAACAGGACAGAAGGCATAATTAAATGGCAAAGGAAAAGGACTTTTTTTTAACATACTTTCCTATACATGTGCAATATGTGGTGCACATTCTGGAAATAAAAGAAAGGGCCTGGCCTTCATGGCTCAGTGGCTGAGCATCGACTTATGAACCAGGAAGGCATCGTTTGGTTCCAGGTCAGAGCACACGCCTGGGTTGCGGGCTCGATCCCCAGTGTGGGGCATTCAGGAGGCAGCCAATTGATGGTTCTCTCTCATCATTGATGTTTCTATCTCTCTCTCCCTCTCCCTTCCTCTCTGAAATCAATAAAAATATATATATTTTTTAAAGAAATATTTCTTAGAAAAAGAAAAAGGAATGAGAAGAAGGAAGGGAGGAAATGAGCATTCTTTTTTGGAAGCAACAAAGTATGACTTGGAAATGGTTTTTTGGTAATTATAGCATGCAACTATCTTAACATGCTTCTAAAAGTAACAATCTCTTATCAGACGGCAAGAAATGTGAAAGAGGAGCATGTATTGTTAAGGTTTTTAAAGTCATGCAGAAAATATACAATGCAATTAATATTTCATGCAGGCTTTGGTGTGGTTACACATTCACATTTATATACAAGCCATCATGTACAGCCAAACACTATGCCACGATTTGAAAATAAAAATATGAACCTTGCCAAATACTTTTCAACAGCAGCTCTTGAAGTCAGATTAGAGAAGCATAGTACATATCAAATGACATCAGGATTATACTGTGCAGTTTTGATCATACACAACCATATTCATACCAAACAGTCTGATTGTCCTCAGAAACCAACAATGCAGCTTCTGTGTCATCAGGACAGAGGCATGCAGGAGTGATAAGATTACTGCTACCTACAGAAGACTGTGGGTTATAGTTACCACGGATCTGATTATCAGAAAACTGTTCATTATCTTTCTGGGAAGCTTTATCCAAAGAGGCAGAAACCTGGTCAGTTACTCTGGTGACTGGCCTGGGAGGTAACCCACTTATGTTACTAACTAACTCTGTATTCAGGGATAAAAATGGCTGAGAAGGATGAGTAAATGACTCTATACTATCTTTAGCTGATATTACAAGTGTGTCATTAGACATATTAACGGAGGCAAAAGTTTGGTTTAGAAAATGTGACTTTTCTGTTGTTGAGCTCCTAGCCTGGGCATATAGAGACTCAGGCTCATCCGTAACTAAATCAATTTGTGCATAAGAACCTACAGAATATGCTGGGCTGTGAAGTTTATGGTAAGACCACTGGTGTAAACGGTACTCACTAGATGCTGCAGTGATGTGGCTATCAGCAACAGCTGGTGATGGATCAACTGACACAGGTAGTCTACTGTCCTTGGTCAAAAAATCATGGATGCTTGTCCTTCGAGTAGTCCCTTCTGCAGTAGAGATCACACTGCTTGCACGAGGTAAAGTGGCATAAGGATTACTATCTTTTGATTGTCGTGACAAAGAAGATTCTTTCACTAATTTTATCTTTCCTTGAGTGCCTGGTGTAGGTTTTCCTGGAGAACTCATAAAGTAGGTATCTTCAGGCTTTTGAGGACCAGGTCTCACAAACGGTTCAGGCTTAGTTGTCCGTCTATCGTAGAAGTCTCCTGGGCTTTTCCCACTTACTGACCTGGCCAGACCACAGCTAACGGGTTTGCTTTTTCCCAAAAAGTCAGAAGAGACAGACAAACTTTTCATTACTTCATCTAAAAGATTATCTTGACTTGAGGACTTTATCTGTAAAAAAAACAAAGCAGATTAATGAATATCAGGCATGCTTTTACTTTCCTGATATATTAGACTGCATAATATAAAACTACTAGTATTTCTAAACACTCCTTTACTTAAAAAAAAAAATGCTCGGTTCACCCTGGCCAGTGTTGCTCAGTGGTAGAGCATCAGCCTGTGCACTGAAGGGTCTCGGGTTCAATTCCGATCAAGTTCTCGTACAGGTTTGTTCCCTAGCTGCCCTCCCCCCCGCCCCCCCACTGTGGGGACACATGTGGAGGCAACCAATTGATGTGTCTTTCTCACACAGATGTTTCTCTCCTTCGCTCCCCTTCCACTCTTCCTAAAAATCAATGGAAAAATAACATCGGGCATAAACAACAACAAAAAAGCTCTGAAGTTCAGTCACAGATATTTAACGTGAAATGTGCACCTGAATTAAGGTCACCTATAAAACTAACCTGTATTGAGGTAAGCTTGTTGCTTTCTTCCAAAAACTGTTGTAGAGTAACAACTTCACTTCCAGGGGAACCAGTTTTGACCTTGTGATGTGCTCGACTCTCAGTTTCAGGCATTTTGTGCGGGAGCACTGGACTTGATCTGGTCTGTCTTTTCAAGTACTGGATTGGACTGCTACCACTGCTGGACCAAGCCTCAAGATCATGAAGCAAGCTAAATTCCCCACTGCTATGGCTCTGTGGCCTGCTCTGGGTATTAACTGCACCTGCTTTCGGAGTAAATGGTGTGTTAAGAGTTCAATAATAGAAATGAGATTAAAACTACATAAGTAAAAAGATTTGTTGACGGGGTTCTTACGAAGAGCCAAAGTGACTTTCAAGCTTTACTTAGAAATGCTTAGTAACTATGTTTATCTTTCACTAGTCTAACAACTGCCAGATTATTTTGTCTACTATAAGCTTATCAGTCTATCATAGCCTGCTTCTTTATTTTGTCAATTTGACAAATATAAGCACCTTTGCCACCATACTCAGAGCCTAAACATATAATGCAGACACTTAATGCCTTTGATGAGGAAATAAATGAATAAATAAATGGTTAATATGTTTTTTTAAAATACAGGTTTAAATACAAATTGACCCTGAATAACATGGGATTAGGGGTGCTGACCCCCTCCCCCTCTGCATATTTTCAAGAGTCAACTATAACTGTAAACCACCTCACAATTTAGAACAAAACGTGACTATAGGAATTTTAAATTATTTCTGAATGTTAAAACCAAAAACTATTCTAAATGCTAAAAATTCTAATGCTTTGCCTTTCTATGAAGTTTTTATTCCTTACTTAAAGTTTTATCTGTTCATCCTTAATAAATGACCTTAAAGAAAAAATTTTTAAATTTAAATAGGCATATAAGGGAAGTCATGCTTTCCACTGTTTGTATGGTGGCCACTCAGTTGAGTAACTGTATAGAATGCAAATTACTAGTTCTGGAAAAAAGCTATCTAAAGTTTATGCTATTCCTTAAGAGTGCTAATTTATTTTGATCAAAAGCAAACTGATACAGTATATAATAAATGCAACTTTCCATGGTTTTCCAATCACAAAAGAGTAAAGTAGGTCATGAAAGAATTTGGCTCAAGTTCTGTAACAATTTTATAGAAATAAGATTTTCATAAATTTTCAAATACTTCTTCATATGTTCAGACTACTTTTTCCTACTGGCTATATAAACATAATTATAAAAATTTAAAAATCCCTTTTTTTCAGATCATAGCAAAAAAGCCATAGCATTAATGATAAAAATAAACTGAAATGGAGACAAAAGGATTTTATAATGCAAAGAGCGATGGAACAAATGCATTGACTCTAATTTGGCAATTCTGGACTGTACAGAATAGTATTTTAACACTTTTAAAATCTATTCAACAATTCCAGAATCTGAGTAGGCAGTATACCTTTAAGGAAAAAGGTATTATTAGTCAAGGCTTCCAGACAGACATTACATTAACAGCCTTACCTGGAATGTATATTTAAAAACTAAGGAAAAAAAATTTGAAATAATTCTTAGATGAGCTATATGCATCCACTTGGCTCTTGTTTCACATATATACACACAATTGCCTTATCAAATTAAAAAATATATTTCCCCCTATTTCGTGGATAAGTTTTGTGTATGTAAAACTCCTTCTGTGAGTTCAATGTGCATACATCATGAAAAAATTAGGCATAATCATGTTAATGAGAAAGATAAAACATAATTAAAATAAGAACTACAGATACTTTTGAAGTATACATTATAATAAAAATATTTTACCTGTGAAAGATAAAAAATGGAAACCAAAATAACTGCTCCTGTTTTTACATTTATATACATTGAAATACATTTGTATTACAATGTTGAAAGTATAAACTATTCCAAGGAACTATGTTCCAAACAGATGATTTGGATTTCACACTTTACCCTAGAAACTTCATCCATCTCCCTTTTAAATGTGGAAATGGATGAACATATTAGTAAATTTACCTACAGCATACCTTTGACTTCATGGAGTGAAGCATTATTATTGCTATTGCTAGTGGATGTCCTGCCACTATCCAGGCTGGCTGGTCTTGAAGCTAAATGAAAACATCAGGAGACAGTGTGATAAAACTTCCAGCTGCTGGCACTGAACTTTACATTCTGTCACAGAATGCTTTGAGGAAGTAATCATGCATACTTGCATACACTGAGCATGCCCACCAACAGCTGAATCGTATACATTAAAGAGAAAAGACATTACCACATTGTTTAGTAAGACAGGGCACGTCTGAAACAATTGTTGAAATTTAAAGAAAAGAAGATAAATTGCATATTAGATTTGAATATGATTTCTAGAAGGATACTAGGACTATTTTAGATTAATAGAGTGACATGCCAAAAAAAGGTGCTAGTGATTAGGTCACTTACAACAGATTAGACAAAGAACCCTGCACATTGCAGAGACGCCACAAACAGGAGGAATATGAGCATCTGCAGTTAATGTTTTGTATTCCTATCCATAGAAGGGAAACAGCCACACAGTTAACATGGCCCTAACCTATTTCTTAAAATCCTGCTTTCATATGAAATTCCTTTTACATGTTAACCACTTATTGTTAATAATTTAGTTTGGTAAGATATGATTTCCCAGATAGAGATTTAAAAACCTGAATGCTTGACATTGCAGAATTTTTTTTTTTGCATGCATACAAGTCCTTTGATTGATCTCTTCCCCCCCCAACCCTTCCCTGCATTCCTGCTGTAATTTGACAGTCTGTTCGATGCTTCTGCAGAATATGGTTTCTTAAAGTTTATATTTTCTTAGAGTAAATATGGTAAAAATTCAGAACTTTTAAAATTATACCAAAATGGCAACAAAATTACCTTTAATCATTGTGCGGGAATACTTTATAAATGACCTTGACTAAAACAGAGACTATTTAGATGAAGCAGTAACCTTAAAAGGGGCAAAGGGGAGGATTAGGTTTGAAGAAATGGCAGAGGTATGAGGTGCAGGTTAGATAAAACATCCTTGCTGGCAATGCACATTCAGATTCAATGCAACATTCTATAGTTAATAAGTACTCTCTAAATAAAGTTCATATCTTACCATGAACTCTTGATCCCGTACTAGAATCATCACTAATACCTTGTGGACTTATATCTTCAAAGGATGTAGCATCTATATAAAATAGCAAAATAGATATAAAAGTATTTCTTAACAACAACAAAAATTGTAAAATTTCATTTACTCAGAATATGGAAACTCTTTTTCAATTACATATAATACATCTCCCTTTAATATATTTCTAGACTCAACAAAAAACTGAAACTGAAGCAAGAAAACGAATAGCTCTGATGAGTTTACTTGCCAATAGAACAGTCTCCCTGACCCTGCAAAGCAAGAGCCTCGGTTGTTCTACATGTTTTTTTTCTTTTCTCTGTTTGAAGTCATAGTGTTTTCAGGTGTGTGTGTTTTTTAAGGTTCTATTATTCTCTCCTTTTCTCAAACTTTACTTGCATTACTTTTTCTTTTCTTGTCAGTTCATTAGCTGTTTATTATCAAAAGCTTAGGAAAAACTTTGTTATTTTATGTCTTAAATTTTTTGAAATGCTCTGAAAATTCCCTCAAATCAAAGCCAGATTGTTTTGATAATTATTTCCGTTTGCTGCTGTCAAAAAATACACATGGGAAAGTCAAATTAAAATTTCTGTTGCCAACATTTCCACAACAGTGCAAATAGCAGACGGCCTATACCTTTATTATTAACCAACTGCTTGGATCTGAAGCCTGCAGAAGAGTTGACAGTTGAAAAGTTGATAGCTGTAGTAGAGAAGGCCATAGCTCCCAATTCTTTTCTCCTTTTACCCGTTGAAATATCATCCGGAACCTCCAAATTCTCAGTACTACCTGTCCACTGTCCTCCTGCTAGGACCATGGACTGCACCAGGTCATTCATGGCTGGGATGCAAATGAAAGCAAATGAATCAGCACGGTTAATGTTCTTGCTCTTATTTCTCTTTTGTCTTATAAATGATCTGGGGTTTTTTCCTATGGATTAATGCAAGTGAAAACAAAAAACTGTAACCACAATGTCTCAAATTATGACATGCATTCAGCTCAATGAAATGAATAGGCCAAAGGCTAATAAATTTCAGTAATTATTTTTATCCCATCTCCACCTCATTTAAAGATGGGAAAAGGAATTTTACTCTGTACAATTGCCATGCTTTTGCGCAGTGATGTGCAATATAATAAGAAGCCTTTATAATGTGGTTTTGTGGTGAAAAAAAAAATGGAATGAATAAAGGTAAGATGGAGAGCAGTTCTTATACAGCATCATTACTGAAAATGATAAAGAGTCCTTGGTCAGAGCAGGTTACTGAAGGAATTATTCATTTTATCAATCAAATAAGTATACCATTAATAAAAACCTGAAAGAGACGATAGTCAAAGTGACAGACATTTAATGTGATTATGTAATTACCCATTCCACTTAAAAAAAAAAAAAAAAAGGAAAACCAGAGTATTATTATATAAAGAATGACAAACATTTTTAAGGGTTACAGGCCATTTTATTTATTTATTTAATCTAGTTCATTAAGGAAATAAATGTCTAATGCTAAACATTCTGTTATATTTTCTTTAAGTAAATTTCTTTGGGAAAAAATCTCTAATGGCATAAAATTAGGGTTTTATTTCTGCCAACTTTTAGAAAGCACTGGAAATTTACAAGTATATTATTACATGTACAACTAAACATACACATGTATATGTATGTATCAGTGAACATACATATAATGCAAATTCAGTGCCAGTTTTGAAAAAAAAAATTCTTCCAGCTCCTTGTATTAGAGGAAGACTGCACTTTTTAAAATAAGAAAATTGGCACAGTCCAGAGAAAGGTTAGTGAAAATTAGTAATGGAAGCCAATGTAGTCAACTGAAAGAAGCTGAACTGTCATAAAGTCTTACACATGGAACGACGGTAGCAGGCCTTCATTTTGTCTTTATCCTTCGGTCTGTTCCTCAAAAAGGGCAGTCTTTTCAGTGCAACCACTTTAATGTCAGAGCATGAGGAAAAACAGAAACAGAAAAATGAAACAGAAAAAAGGGAGAAGAACAGATGGGAGTTAAATGTTGAAATTAAGGACAGAAATGAATGTCTGAGTTTCAGCTTATGTATGCTATATTAAAGTTATTATTCTCGTGCTGCTGAGTGACAATGAAATATGAAATAAGCACTCTGATACTTTAAAATACTTGGGATGGCACTGAAGACAATGATGAGGAACATATACTTTGAAAGCTTGGATTAGCTAAAGTCCTATAAATACAGGAACTGGTTAGAATTACTTATGGAACAAGCTTCCTAGTTAAATTGTAAATGTATACCTTTAAAATTAGAACTATTGGTGGGACACAGAGTATACGTGCTAAAAATGTACAAGGCTTTTCAATCCTCTATTTTCTTTAATTTTTAAATTATAAGGCTTTACAGAAAAAGTAATTTAGGCAAATGCACTTAGGAGTATTTTAGTAATATACATCACCAAAAACTAAAGTGCCTATGGGATGTTTTAAACAATCTAAAGCTTTTAAAACTTTCATTAAAAATTTTCAATACTTTCTTAAACTTTAATAAAGAAATAGCAAATTGCTTCTTGGTGTAATATGTAGTAGCACGATAGAAATATATATTCTTTGAACAGTCTTTCAAACGATGAAATGAGCAATTACATTAAACTTCATTTTACCAAAAAGCTGTCTGGGGAAAGAGAAAAAAGAGTATTTTGACAGTAGTAATAAGTGCTAACACTAAGTCCTGATAAGGCTAAAAGATATGAAGGCATCCTAAAGCAAGCAAAAATGTCCCCAAAAAAGTGTATATTACATTTTTAGGTATTTATTTTGAAGGGTTTCTTCAGTGAGGTTATTAAAAAAATCAAAGATAGCACTGTGCAAGAAGATTTTGTGAATGTAAATGAGGGTTATAACTACAAAAATCATTAGTACAAAAATAAAAATGTTCACTAGAGTCACTAACTTTCTTAAACTACACTATATATTTTTTTTTTCCTAAATATATTTTTATTGATTTCAGAGAGGAAGGAGAAGGGAGAGAGCGATAAAAACATTAATGATGAGACAGAACCATTGATCAGCTGCCTCCTGCACACTTCCTATTGGGGATTGAGCCCACAACCGGGGCATGTGCCCTGACTGGGAATCGAACTGTGACTTCCTGGTTCATGGGTCAATGGTCAATCACTGAACTACATCTTGCTAAACTATATTTTAATAAGATTTAAATACAAAAAGCCCTGGTTGGGTGGCTCAGTTGGTTCGAGCGTCATCCCATACACCAAGAGGTTGAGGGTTCCATTCCTAGGATCAAGGCACACCTCTTGGTTCAATCCCCAGTTGGGGCACATATGGGAGGCAACCGATTGATGTTTCTCTCTCTGTCTCTCAAAATCAATTAAAACAAAACACATCGCCCGTCCAGAAAGCTCAGTGGTTAAGCGTCAACCTATGAACCGGGGGCGGGGGTGGGGGGGTGGGGACGGTGTCGTGTCACGGTTTGATTCCCAGTCAGGGCACATGCCCTGGTTGTAGGCTCGATCCCCCATAGGAGCATGCAGGAGGCAGCCGATCAATGATTCTCTCTCATCATTGATGTTTCTATCTCTCTCTACCTCTCCCATTCCTCGCTGAAATAAATAAAATATATTAAAAACAAAAAACATATCCTTGGGTGAGGATTAAACTTTTTAAAAATAAGTAAAAAAAAAAGTAAGTAAATACAAAAAAAATGTATTTATTTTGGAACTACAATTCAGGCACTAATGAAACAACTTGCATAGACTTAAAAACATTGTACACAGCCCTAATAACTACATCTTTCTCAGGGTTTACCATTGTCTTGTAAATAATCAAAGCTCTTTGACACACTGACAAGAATCATTCATTAAGGAGAATGCAATGTACATACAGCTTTTTAACTTATATATTTGATTGCTATTAGGAAAACATAGTCATGATTCATTTAAGCTTTTAATTTGACCTATTTCTTTTCTAACTTCGTATAGCCAATTACTTTCAATGATTAAAATAAATGAACTGAAAACAATGTAAAAATGGACACTTAGCTAAACCAAAGCTGAATGGTTGCAACATGCACATGTTGTCTTTACTTTCTTTTTCTGTTTCAACTGTTTTCCAAAGACTGCTTTGCTGACAGACACTCTTACAAAAGGGAGAGGACCACAGGAGTTTCAAATCTGCCAGTGGCAGAATGTGATCTTTCTTTTGGCAATTAGTTTTTAGATACACAACGTTTTTTCCCCCAAAACCATACTGAAATTAGCATTGTTGGATTTTGTGTTTAATTAAAAAAATTCTAGCCATGACTGGTTTGGCTCACTGGATAGAGCGTCAGCCTGCAGACTGAAAGGTCCCGGTTTCGATTCTGGTCGAGGGCATGTACCTTGGTTGCGGGCACATCCCCAGTAGGAGGTGTGCAGGAGGCAGCTGATCAATGTTTCTCTCTCATCGATGTTTCTAACTATCCCTCTCCCTTCCTCTCTGTAAAAAAAAAAAAAAAAATCAATAAAAATATATTCTAAAAAAATTCTAAAACTGAACAATTGTAGGAAAAGAGAATATTACTTCCTTTTGATTCTTATTTTGAAGGTTTTAGCAGAGAGTATGAAGGAATGACGGGTAGGACAAAAATAAGTTTACAGTTGTTTGCATGGAAAATATACAATAAAAATAATTATACAAGAATAAATTCATACAACTGTAAACTTACTTTTGCCCCATCCTGTACTTAAAACAAACAACATGGTCTCAGAAAAGGCTGTCATGCCTTTCTTGTGTAGGCTCTCATATCTGAATTGAAATATCTTCCTTTAATTAAAAAAATTAAGTATACCTACTACCATTTCTCATTTAATAAAATGTCAGATTTTTATATCTAAAGATAGAGATAAAAGTAAATTATCTGGAAACATTTTAAGAAAACTTGATGATCTTTCTACAATACTCAGACGTTTCATGCAGATTTGGGTGAAAAGACTAGATAGCAAAAGACCCAGGTAATAATATTCTTATGTGGGAACATAGAATTAAACAAATTTCTTGAGCCTACTATATAAATACACACACACGTGTGTGTATGCACGAATATGTACATATGTATGTATATGATTTGCTGCTTGATTATGGATTCTAGTTCTTATGTGCTACAGCTGCATTCTAAAATATACCCTATAATGAATGTCTCCAATCTCCTACACCTGAAAATACTGCCTTTCAAAGATAAATCCCAAGGCCAAAACACTGTCTATAGTTTTTTGAAAGTTACGCATATGGAGTGTCTACCTCTAAGGGAAGTAGTAGCTGTTTTTGCCTGCTATTCACTTAAAAGGTAATGAAAT